ATTCGAGCCCCGCATCAGGCACTGTGCTGACAGCTCAGAGCCTAGAGCCTGGAGCCTGGAGCCGGCTTCCGATTCCGTGTTTCCCTCTCTCTCTGCCCCTCCCTGCTCGTGCTCTGTCTCTCAAAAATAAATAAACGTTAGAAAAGTTTTTTTTTTTAAAAAAAAGAGTCAGATGCTCAACCAACTGAGGCCACCCAGGTGCCCCAAAAAAGTATCCATTTTTTAAATGTTAACTGATAAGGAAGGCAGAAGAACAGTTTAAAGAATAAACAAAAATTCTGCTCACCTTGTCCCCCTAAAATTCCTGTTGATTTCACAACCATCTCAAGCTTTTTGTCCCATGTAAATGTTCGAATATAATCTGTTACAGGAGGCAATATTGGCAGTAAAGCTACGTTAGTAAGTGTGAGAAAATAACGACAGGAATTACTATTACTTCTACCATGTTTACTGAGTGCTAACAATACTGCCAGGTGCTGTCCCCAAGGTTTGTCTCCATATTAATTCATTCAATCCTCATTACAACTTCACAGCGCTTCATTTACAAGTAACTTTTTCAATACAGATTGTTTTTGGTAAAGATAATGAAAATGAAAATGAGGACACTGAATACAAGGTAACTAGAATTTAAAAGCTATTGATTGTGAATTTTCAAGTGTAAGTTGGTGAAAATATTTAACAAGCTATTACGAGATCAGGCTGAGTATAATCTTCAAATATACTCTGGCTTCAATCATGAACTAGAAGGTATGCTTGCCGACTTACCTATAATTCCGACTACCAGCTCATTGCTGGTATCATCTCGTCCAACCAGCAAAGAATAATCTATAATGAGGTGGCTAGAAAGGAAGTGGGAATCACTACGGATCGAGGCTCTCAGCACGGCTTTGGAATGAGAACGGATATACAGGGGGTTGTCTCGAACCATCTTTAAGAGATTTTCATCCAGCAGGACTACATCACAGCTCTCTTTCCCAGTATCAGTTTTTACATTTCTATTCCTAAGTGAACCCTTCAAATCAAAAACCTAGCAGAAAGGAAATTTTCTGTTATTTATGCATGAGTTGTGCAATGAATTAATGTAATTAAATTGGAAATGCAGAAAGACTCTTTATAGCCCATACCATTATATACACTGTTAAATTTAATTTTAAAACTTAATCATAACTTATAGAAGCCATTAAATGCATGCATTATAACTGTTCAATACATAAAATAAATGGTGATATGATTCATCATTGAAAATTAATACCTAGGTGGTCAACTACTCAAACATTTCAGAAATATACTAACACACTTAATCAACTTTAAGAAACATTAACAAATAACTCCAAAAGTATATCACTGAATCGTAAAGCAGTTAAAATACAGATGCAAACAGTCTTAGGAAACTTACAGCTTTGATACCAAAACCCTATGCAATACTTACGGCAATGTAGAAGCAACAGCAGGTCTCTAGAAATTTTGGGGTAGTAAAAGCCACACACTCAAAGGTCAGGGGACTTAGGTCCTAGATCAGTGCAACATGAAGTGTATTCTGCAGACTAATGCTAGTCAATTGTCGCTGGCTCATGACAACATAAGGAGCTAGTGCTAGAATGTGAAACAGTTGCATCATTAAGCACACTGTTCATTCAGCACAGCACCACACTCTCAATGAAGAAAGCAGTGCATTGAATTATATTCTAGTATAAGCTCCTTACCTCACCAGACTAGGGACAAACAGTTCAAGGACCAACACTCTCGAAAGGTACTTTTCTAGAATCTAAAACAACCTGAGTGCTGGTAGTATCTGTGTGACTGTCAAAAACTTAAATTTTTCTGGGTCTTAGTTTCTTCATCTTTAAAACAGAGATGATGGAAACAGATCTGCCTTCTAATTCTGTAATTCTGTGTTTCTAGGATATTGGAGAGGTTAAATTTTAGGACCCATCTACAATATTCCTCTTTATTCTTTCCTACAGGGTTCAACAATTCCAAAGTTAACAAACTTTGGCCTAGCAACAAAGGCTTAATACTATTAAATAAGATGTTATTCTCTAACTCCTTATAATCAGGAACCAGAAGTGCCAAAGTTTCCAGTAGCTAAGTGGCTTGCATAGTTCAATATCCTTACCTGTGCCATCTTTCTCCCATAGAAAAGATTTTCCATGACAAGGAGATCTAACTTCTTCTCAGTATTGTTCTGAGAATTCTTATAACCAATTCTGTAAACTCCAAGAATTTTGGCCAATGCAGTGGGCCTCTGATCAAGAAAAAAAAAAAAAAAAAGAAAGTCAACTCTTATCAAAAATGATTATTTGTAATTTAATACCCATATCTGGATTATCCATGTAATATCCAAACTAATGTTCTATTAATAGGACCAGAGGGCCTTGAAAGAAACTTAAACCCTTGAATCTCAGAAGCAAGTGAAAAGTAAAACAGCAATGCCAATAAAAACATTAATGATCCTTAATATTTGCCCAAAGGATAAGGCTTTACAATTTCTCAAAATCACAAATTTTACTATGACATATAATTTCCCCTAAAATATGCAATAAACCATAAGTGAAAAACAATCTATGTGACTCCCTTATACACTCACTGGGAAGATCATGGCTAAATGTCAAGTGGGCAAACCTGAACCACTGGTTGCCTCTCTTTCTACCTAAGGATCCATACACCTGTCTTAACAAACACTTCTAGTTTCTGTCTTAACAAAATTACAAATTCTAATGTGCAGGCATTATCATTCAATCTTAATGTTTCTACACACACACACACACACACACACACACACACACACACACACACACACACACTAAATGCAACCTGCTCAAGATCTCTTGGTTCCTGGCTGGCAAAGGTAGCAAAGAGGGTTTGAAATGACTACATTCTCTCACACTTTAATAACATAACAGAGATCCAGTCATGTCCTGTCCCTATTTTAGCATGGAAAAGACTGCCATTGGGATGAATTCTCAGGATATGAAAAAGCCCAGAAAACTCTAATTACGGACCAAGGTTTGGGATTTCTACCTTTTGTTGAACAGCATTTGTAATATAATTGAAGTAGTGTGGTGCAAAGTCAAGGAAAGACTGGACTTCCAGACGAGGCATCTGCTTCAAAATGAATCTATCATCTAAAAGGTAGAAGTGTCATATGTGTTTATTCAGTCACAGTATTTCCTGAGGTAATCTATAATAAATCATTCCAAAGATCCCAAATGATTTGTTTGCTTCATAGCTTTAAGGGATATTTTCTAATGTCAAGAGAAAATTTTAATCAGAATATAGTTCTCAATGGGGCGCCTGGGGTGGCTCAGTCGGTTAAGCATCTGACATGAGCTCAGGTCATGATCTCACAGTTCGTGAGTTCGGCTGTCAGCATAGAGCCACTACGGATCCTCTGTCTCTCTCTCTCAGTCTCTCAAAAATAAATAAACAAACAAACAAATAAATAAATAGAATATAGTTCTCAAGTAATTGAGGGCTCAACAGGTTCCTGAGGATTTATGTAGTCAAGAACCACACGTAAATTCATAACTAGATACTAAGTAAAACTACTTACTGAGTGCTAACTACTAAGTAAAATTTTATAAACTCCTTTGTTAACAGTGCAGTAAGTCACAGTTATGAAGCTTGTATCAAGCAACATTCCTCCTGCGGCATTTTCTCAAATAATTTTGCTCCCAGAGTATGGAGAACGGAACATAAAGTACAAACGGTCATCACCTTCTATAATACCTCTGCAGGTGAAGAACCTGGCCTTCCGATTTTCAAGTTAAGTATTTGTATTTTTATCTTTCTCTCACCAGCTCTGAGGTACCCCTTTTGACTCTTCTAGAAATTCTCTGTTACTATTTACATTTGGAGAAGTCAGGACCAGATCAGAGTTTAGCAAGGATCGGATCAATGTCTGTCTCTAAATACACACCACACATATGTACACTCTTAAAAATTATTACATCCTTTCAACCATAAAAAAAGAAACCCTTGCTTGACGACTGGCAGTATCATACAACCTCAATTTAAGTGAGTCCTAAATTATCTGAGGGCAAAAGATAGCTACTACTCAGTCAGTAGAAGATAAAAAGACTTCCCTTCCGTGGCATAGAAGGCAGCTCCTGATTTGCCCCCACGGGCCTGCCAGGGCGACGAGTGGGAAAGAGAACGAATGAAATCTTCTTCACTGCTCCCCAGAATCACCTCACGCATCTTATGAAACTCTCCCGCATAGTAGAGCCGACAGTAAAACTTGGCATTCGCGTCAGAAAATTCTATAAACAGAAGTGTTAAAGATAAAAGGGGGGTGAGGGGCTTTTATGAGCCAAAAATCTCTCTTCCTTCTTGCTCACTCCCACCACCAACAAATGCGACCATTTGGTTTTCTTCATGACAGCATTTCTCACGCCACATCTACATCCCTGTTCATCACAGTTCTGTTAAAGTAACCCTCAAGGAAAATTAAAATGCACCTTATGACCTTACAGAAAAATCAACCATGAAATAAGACCCATTTCTAACTTTATAGGTTACTGTATTTTCCTCATTGTGCATCTTAAATTTTACTACATATTCTGGATGATACGTTTTTGGCGCGCGCGCGCGCGCGCACACACACACACACACACACACACACACACACACACAGTGCTAGACACCTGGTCACGGCTATAGCTCTAGACTACATAATAATTACTTAAACGTTAGAAATCAAATCATTATAAATTATAATTTAAACTAAGTTTCTGTATAAACTAAATAATGTTTATTTTATAAACTAAATCTAGATTAAATAAAGCTTATGTCAGGACACAGACTTAATATTTATTCTAAGAAACAGGATATTTATCTAGTATAAAACTAGAAGCCTTAAATAACAGTTTGCTCAATTACAGTCCCCATCCCTGCACCATCAGTATTTTATCTCTTACTTACGTAGCTCCACGTGAGGATTTATGAGTTGTTTCTTTTGTGTATCTCCTCCATCTACCTCATCTACAAGGTTTAATATCGTTAGTTAAGCCAAAGTTTTAAATGGGTTACCAGTTCATTTTGCTTCCCCCCCTCCCCGACATAATAATAAAAATTAACAAGTCAACCCCCTGTTATCCTGGTCAAATCACTCTCAAGAAAGTATTATATGTACAAGCTTGTGTAGACTATTACAAAAATATAGGTACCTTTGGAAACATCAATTTTCATATGAAAAATAGAGAAATTCAGGTTGAAGAATAATTTTCTTGTATTTGATGCCTCTGATAGTAATATACTAACTCCGCTCTTACATCAAGTTTCCATTACTTCTTTCTCAGTTTATGACTGTCTTCCCTGTGTGTGGAATAATGCTTCTCCAATAGCCTGAGATGCTTTTTTTTTTGATGGATAATCTTTTTTTAATTTTAATTCCAGTGTAGTTAATATATAGTGTTTTATTAGTTTCAGTTGTACAATATAGTGATTCAACAATTACACAGTGCTCATCATGATAAATACACTCTTTAATCCCCCTCTCCTATTTCACCCATCCTCACACCCACCTCCCTTCTGGTAACCATCAGTTTGTTCTCTATAGTTAAGAATGTTTGTCTTTTTTCTTTCTTTCTCTCTTCATTTGTTTTCTTAAATTCCACATGTGAGTGAAATCATATGGTACTTGACTTTCTCGGACTTATTTCACTTAGGATGATAGCCTCTACATTCATCCATGTTGTTGCAATATATACATATATAAATGGTATAGATGCTACTTCTTTATCCATTCATCTGTTGATGAACACTGAGCTACTTCCATAATTTGGCTATTGTAAATAATGCTGCAATAAACATAGGGGAGAATATATCTTTTAAAGTTAGTATTTTTGTATTTATTTTATTTTGTTTTGTTTTTTTAAAATTTACATCCAAATTAGTTAGCATACAGTGAAGCAATGATTTCAGGGGTAGATTCCTTAATGCCCCTTACCCATTTAGCCCGTCCCCCCTCCCACAACCCCTCCAGTAACCAACCCTCTGTTTGTTCTCCATATTTATGAGTCTCTTCTGTTTAGTCCCCCTCCCTGTTTTGATATTATTTTTGTTTCCCTTTCCTTATGTTCATGTGGTTTGTCTCTTAAAGTCCTCATATGAGTGGAGTCATACAATTTTTGTCTTTCTCGGACTAATTTCACTTAGCGTAATACCCTCCAGTTCCATCCATGTAGCTGCAAATGGCAAGATTTCATTTTTTTTTGATTGCCGAGTAATACTCCATTGTATATATATCCCACATCTTCTTTATCCATTCATCCATTGATGGGCATTTGGGCTCTTTCCATACTTTGGCTATTGTTGATAGTGCTGCTATAAACATGGGGGTGCATGTGTCCCTTCGAAACAGCACTCCTGTATCCCTTGGAAAAATGCCTAGTAGTGCAATTCCTGGGTCGTAGGGTAGTTCTATTTTTAGTTTTTTGAGGAACCTCCATACTGTTTTCCAGGGTGGCTGCACCGGCTTGCATTCCCAGATGCTTTCTTTGTTATACGCTAAGATATACATATAATACATAAAATATACTACTGTCTACCTCAGAGCAATTTTTTATATTTGATTTGTGTGTCTAGATCTACTCTAATTATTGCAAGTTTGGAACATACTTTAATAGTTAGAAGAAACAATCCTCTATGTCTCACATTTCAAAATTAGTTTTCTAAGCACCAATGTCTTCCAAGGATTACAGCCCAACAGAAGCCTACAGAATCCTAAACAGATAGCTTAAGTACTAATGAAAATATATTATGCTATCTTGTAGACTACTAATTCATGATCTAACCCAGGGTCACCGAACTATTTCTGTAAGGGCCAGATGGTAAGTATTTTATTCAGTCAAAACTACTCAATTTTTCAATACAACATGAAAGCAGCCAGACAATAAGTAAATGAATGGGTGTGCTTATGTTCCAATACAAGTTTACTTACAAAAACAGGTGAGCATGATTTGCCTATGTCTGGTCTAACCTCATATCCAAACACAATCAAGTAGACACATTTTAAAATATCAAAATGAAGGCAGACATCAATGCCCTCAACCCTATAGAGACTGGAAAAGAAAGGAAATGTCTAAGGGGGTAGTGGAGTGAAAACATTTGAATAGATACTGTGACTTACATGTTTTACGTGTGTAATGTCACTCAGTCCTAGTAAGCCTCAGAAGACATTGCTTTTGCCACCTTACAGGTATGGAAACTAAGGATTTCTGATTCTACCACACAGTAAGTGACAGCAATAACATCTGGCCTCTATCAGCACCATGCTTTTTCCACTCTGCCATACTGAGGCATGAGAAGACAGCGAATGTCTGAGTTTCAGCAGTAAGAATTAACTACTTAAGGGGGCGCCTGGGTGGCTGATAGGTTAGCGTCGACTTCAAGCCAGGTCCGCGATCTCTCCTCCGTGTTCCGGGCCCCAGCGTCAGGCTCTGGAGCTGATGGCTCAGGCCTGGCCTGCTCATTCTGTGTCTCCCTCTCCTCTGCCCCTCCCCCGTTCATGCTCTGTCTCTCTCTGTCCCAAGAATAAATAAACGTTGGAAAAAAAAAAAAAAAAAGAATTAACTACTTAAGGCTAGAAAGAACACAAGCAGCTAAAATAAGCTCATTTGGTTTCCTTTAACACACCTTGAGACTCAGCACCTTGATTCTCCGTCCCCTCCTTGCCCGTCTGCCCAACCTGGTAGTAAGCACTGTCTGCTCCACGTAAGGTCTCTCTTTTCTGGGAAGAGAGATCAGGGCTTTTCCCTGCTGTCCCTCGGAAGAAGGACAGCATTCCAGAAGTCTTTTTGGCTAAAAATAAAAGGTAACATATTCAGTACAGGTCACTACAGGTGAAAAGGAAAAAACGATTTTCAACTCATTCCTTTCTTAGCAAGAACCCATTACACGAAGGTAATAACATTATTCCATATGTTTTATGGGTTTGGGGGGGAGGTGGTTAGTCAAGCACTTTTATTATCAGAAACATAAAAGAAGAGCAGTGTTCAGGTAGCTATATATCAAAATGAGAAATTCTACAGAAAAACAGAATTCAGAGTTAAAGGTAATATCTCTGTACCATTTGTGTTCCTATATTTTAACACAGCAAAATATAAGATTTTTTCAGCATTTTTCAGAAATTAGTATAAGATGGCCAAAGCTTACATACCTTTTTTTAATGTATTTACTTGGGGTGGGGGGAGAGGAAGAGACAGAGAGGGAGAAATAGAAATAGAGAATCCCACGCAGGCTCTGCACCGTCAGTACAGATCCCGGAGGCGGGGGGCGGGGAGGGAGGGCAGGGGCTCAATCCCACCAACCATGAGATCATGATCTGAGCCAAAATCAAGAGTTGGACATTCAACCGACTGAGCCACCCAGGCGCCCTAGCTCACTCTGTAATTTTATTCCTAGTTTTGAATTTGGTATATACATATATATCATCTATGTATCATGTCTGAGCTTAGCATATATGATTCTAATCTTGTTCAATTTACCATCTATAAAATCCACATAAAATGTCATTCATAAAGTGCTTATTAGTTTAGGGTGGCAGACCCCATTATGGCCTCCTTAATATCCAAGCCCACCTTGTTCCTTGCTGAAAGAACTGCAATTCTGGTTGGGGTGGCAATGTGGAGAACCCCAGAAAACGAATCACGATTTGTATAAGCAACCAGGACAGCGCTGTTGTTCCTTCCAGGAAGGGGTGGTCACAAGACTCCTCGCTAGCCAATGAGACTGCAGGGGAAGCCTCTGTATTCCTCATCACAGGAAACAGCTGCAGCTTATACCTACTTCCCTTCTCTCTGCCTTAAATGGAGACATGAACTGGAACATTCTGATCATGAGGAAAATTTAAGAGAATCATAAAGAAACTACCCCCTCTACTGTCATGACAATGCTGACTAACTGAACCAATGCCAGCAAATGCCTGCCTCCGGATGTTGCTTTTTTAGAAAAATAAACTGTTATTTGGTTAAGCCCCAGTAGTCACTTGAGTCTTCTGCTATTTGTAGTGAATAGATTCCTGACAAAGCCAAAGAGATCCATGCTCAAATCCCACCTTCCAGCTACTTCTGTAATCTTGAGCAAGGTACTTAAGTTTAACTTTCTGAAAACTGAGGATATATACAATAATTCTTAGTAGTTATTATGGGGATTAAAGGACATGACCCATGAAAAGTTCTTTTCACAATGCTAACAATACTGTAAAAACTTTTTTAAGTTTCAAAACACAAAAGTTTAAGTTTTTTAAAGCCACTCTTAGCTTGTATACTTCAAACTGAAAACTCTGAGGCAGATTCTGCTTCTTTTTGCAGAGACCTATGAGTTTCTAGAAGTTTCAAATCCAAAAATCAGGTAAAGATCAAACGAAAGCAAAGTATGTATAAAAGAGGGCATACAAAAATTTATTAATGCATATAATACTGTAAAGACCAGAAGTAATAAATTCTTGCCAGATGCTATTTCTTATTTAATGTTTTCTTCTTCAAACCATAATTATAAATAAAACTAATAATAACTACTCCTCTATGTATAATCTTACTTGGCTGTGGTTCTGCTTCTGCTGTACGGTTTGTCTGTCCTCCGCTGACCTCAGGTAATCTAATAGGGCTGCTGCTCTTTGGTCGGCTGTCCAAAGTACTGAAGAAAAAAAAAAAAAAAAAAAAAAAAAAAAAAAAAGGAAAAGTTAGATTCATACTACTCACACAGAAAATGGTTCCTACATTAATTAACTCCCCACCTAACCCCACCCACAGTATCCAAAATTCAATTCATAAGTCATACAAACACAGGTTATAACACAGAAGAAAGATCTTCCTCTGAAGCAAAATGTTGTAACTATGAAAGTATACAGAAAATATATGACAGCAGAGCCTTTTATAATACTTTCCCCAAGTCCATTAGAGCTATATTAGCACCTGTAAGTCAAACAATTACAGAAAATACCAATTTCGTATTTCTCAGTCTCGTTACCACATTAATAAATCAGATCAAATTGTGTCACATTAGTGAAAGTCAAAAACCTATTTCAATAAGAAAATAATGAGCCTACGACAATTTCTGTCTACATGTGTAAAATAACGAACATACTAAAAGAACCAGTTTGGCGGGGGGGGGGGGGGGGGGGGTTTGTTTTTGAACTATTAGAACGTTTAATTATTATTGAAAATTCACAAGTAGTTTAAATTACAAAGTAAAGCAGTGGGTTACTAATTTCACAAGTTACTATTATTTAAATAAAAACAATAAGGAGAATTTTAAATGCTGAAAGTTTAAATCTGCAATATACACTGAACGTCTATGGCCATGATCAGAAAACTACTATCCAAAAGCACCGCTGAAGGCCTTTTGCTATCCTTGAATTTTGTTCTGTTAATTGTTGCCTAAAGTTTGAATGCCACTGTCAGTATCCTAGAAACTTTCATGCTGATAATCTATTACAATAAAATTGAAGTATGAGCATTTAAAAAATGATGACATAGGGGCGCCTGAGCGCTTCGGTTGGTTAAGCCTCTGATTTCAGCTCAGGTCACGATCTCACACTTCGTGAGTTCAAGCCCCATGTCGGGCTCCGTGCTGACACCTCAGAGCCTGCAGCCTGCCTCTGATTCTGTGTCTTCCTCTCTCTCTGTCCTTTCCTCACTCACATTCTGTCTCTCAAAATAAACTTAATAAAAATAAAAAACTAAAAAAATGATGACATATAGCCAAATTAAATAAATTCTACTCAATCACAGATTACCTATTTGTTGGAAGCCCTTCTTCGGCACTGTTCCGCTGAGTCGCTTTGGATAATTCCTCTAAGGCATTTCGGTATTCTTTACAACTTAGGGTAGAAATAGGTTGCAACATGTTAAACATTAAACTTCTCTTCAAAATAAATCATATACTTTAGAATAAGCTCTGCATTACAGAAATACAATCGTTTTGTGTACCCATAACTAAACATGTTTGAGTCAACTAACAAAAGTTATCAAGTAGAAGCTTCATGAAGAAGGTCATCTTCACAGATAATACTGCAAAATACAAACCAACACACCAACCAGTATCAATATCCTAAACGGTGATTGTGAAAGCCTTTGTATTAATATTTAGACCAAATATCTTCAGGAATACAACAGGTAATTTAAAGTATAAAACTTCAGACTTTAGTGTAACTGTGAAAAGGAACGTGAGAATGTTCTTCTACTTAGAGGTACTAAACTTGAAGAAAAAAAAATTCAACTCTTAGACTAGCAGTCTGGGAGCCCTGATTTAGACAGATGTCAGGGAACAAGATAAGCATGTATTATTTTTCCAAGACATTAGAAGAAAGTGACTTCTACTAGTATACTCCATTCCTAACAGTACAATAGGAATTTTTTATTTAGTTGGCTTTCTTACCTTTCTATCTATTAATGTAGCAAGACTAAGCAATAAAGTAAGAAGCAAATACTAACTTCATAAAGGCCAAAAGGCAAAACAAAACAAAAAAAATTGTCATATGGAATCTCCTAAAGGAAAGAAATTCCTCATTACCCAAACGCGTGAACTCTAATAAATGCTAAGGCATATAAATCTACCTTGTTTACTTCTACATATCCAATACCTAGTATACCACATCTTATAGACATTTAAGTATTTGTTGAATAAGCAGCCTTCTTGTAAATAATATATAAAAAGAAAATTTTAAATTTCAGTGTCTTCCAACAGAAAAAAAAATTTTAATTAAACATCTTAGATTATACTTAAACTAAGTTCTGTCACTACCAAGATATTGTCTGTGCTGTCTTTTTAGGGGCGCCTGGGTGGCTCAACAGGTTAAGTGTCTGACTTCAGCTCAGGTCATGATCTCCCAGCTCTGTGCTGACAGCCCAGAGCCTAGAGCCTGTTTTGAATTCTCTCTCTCTCTCTCTCTCTCCCTCTCTCTCTCTCTCTCTCTCTCTCTCTCTCTCTCTCTCTCTCTCTCTCTCTCTCTCTCTCTCTCTGCCCCTCCCCACCTTGTGCTCCGTCTCTCCCTCTCTCTCTCTCTCAGAGATAAGTAAACATTAAAAACATTATAAATAAATAAATTAAATTAAATTAAAAGTGCTGTCTTTTTAGACAGAAGATATAAATACTTTTATAGAGGAATGCTTGTTTAAAACACATGATAACTGTGAGCATGTAAGGGGTTAAGGCATAGGAACGGCATTACTCTAGTAAGGAAACTACCTGCTACGTGTGGGAAGCAAGAAGGAAATTGAGAGCACAAAAAGGAACTCAGACGACATAAGACATTCTAGTGTATCAGTAAGTAAATGTAAGGAAGGGATACACAGTAGAACAGAGAATGTTTAGAGGATATAAAGGTGAGTAAATAACTTGCCTAGTCAATTTACTAAGTAGAAGCTTGCTTAAGAATCATCCTGTTATTATCTGGGTACAGAATACACTTTCATACACAAAAAGAACAAGCTATTGTGCCCTAAGAATATGTATTTTTGTTTATATTTAACCATTCTTCCCTACTCTCTATAAAAGAACTCAACAATAAGATGGTTAGTAAATATACATAAAATATAAAGATCTAATCACAGGTGAAAAGTCCCATGAATAATACCTGAGAGCAAAAGCAATGATGGAGCTGGGCTCCTTCTCACAAACAGCAATGGGTACCCGTTCGTGTTCATACATTAAGTAGTGTTTATCTGGATCACTGTTCAAAATTTTCAAATAAAGAAGAACAAAATTAGCATAAAATCATCTACACAAACCACTAACACATTATAAGTAAATCTCATGACAATTTTAAGTTAGGTAAATACTGCATAATTAACAAGAATATAACTAAATAAGCCAAAATGTATGTAGAATTTAACCAAACAGCCAAGGAAAATGTTATCAACAGAAAGCTTTTAAAGGTAATTGGAAATTGTCAGATCGGTTTTCAAATTGGAGGGTTCCAGAATAGTTACTCTATACAACGCTTTCCACGTTTCCAAGAGGAAATAATATAACACAGTTTCTACAAGACTTTTTGTTCAGGCTTATAGTAGAACAAAATCTTTCACACTTCTGCTATCCATTATAAATACTTTTTGAGATGAACACAGCTCCAAGTCTAGTAGTAGTCCAACAAGAAATAATTTAACACAGCCATTCTCCTATTTATCATATGGAAACTCAATGGTGTGACTCCATTTTAACCCAAATCTTGATCCCCTGACCTCCACCCTAAAGCTCCTAGGGAGGCATTCATTTATTCGTGTTAACAGCTATTTGCTGTGCCAGAAACACAATATTAAGAAAAACTATTACTGGGGCGCCTGGGTGGCTCTGTCGGTTAAGCCTCTGACTTCAGCTCACGTCATGATCTCGCGGTTCGTGAGTTCAAGCCCCGTGTCAGACTCTGTGCTGACAGCTCGGAGCCTGGAGCCTGTTTCAGATTCTGTGTCTCCCTCTCTCTCTCTGCCTCTCTCCCACTCACATTCTGTCTCTGTCTCTCAAAAAGATAAATAAATGTTAAAAAAAAAAAAATTAAAAAAAAAAAGAAAAGAAAAACCATTACTAAGCACCTAACATGAACAAGATGTGAAAGCATCAAATAATCCTGCAAATAAATACAATCACTATCTGTGGTAAGCGCCACGAGGGAATCATGAGAGCATGTAACAAGGAGACCTAATCTGGCTGAGGCAGGGAGCTAGTGGGGACAGTCTAAAGTTTCCCTGAAAAAGAATTCAGAGTAATGACAAAAGAAGAAAGTGAGGGCATGGGCAAAGGTCATACAATAGGAGGAACAACAACCTAGTCAAGAAACTAAGTCAAGTCTGAAGTAGAGAAAACAGGGACTTTCACAGACTGTAGTGTAAATCTCTACTTGTCTCCTCCCTGAGACGGTGAGCTCCCAAGAGCAGTGATTTTCCGTATTAATCTTGTTCTACATCCTGGGGCATGAGAACTGGCACTCAGTACATTTAAATATTGACTAATAAATTAATACAAAGTTAAGAACAAAGGTCTTATGAACAAATGTCCACCTTTTGGATGCACTTGGAGCAGCATAAAGGAGCAGCATCTGATGGCTACACAGATCAACCAGTGGGGAAAAAACTCACAGCCAAACTGTTTTCTTTCCTACTCAGTGAGCCCAGTACAAACAAGATCACATGAAAACTTGTACAGGTCATTGTAATTCATTGACCGAAAAGTACCATGTCCCAGAAAGTTGTAAGTCAGTACTGTCATCTTCATACACAACCAGCAGTATGTTTTTATGACTATGGGATCAATAGATGTAGCAGTATGTCTTTAATATAGACAGACAGATAGATATAGATAGATATAATATTTATATATAGGTATAAACAATTATTTTCAGAACTAGTAATCTTAAGCATTAAGCAACATTAATGTTTTTCTCACCCATTCATCTACTATATATGATGGTTGCTATATAATAATTCTATAAATTACATTATACCAAAAGACACTTCTTTTACTATGATGGAAATATAATTTGAGAAGTATGCATAATGTTAAATAAATATATTTAAATACGTAAAGAATAAATATTTGGAACGAGGTGTTTAAAAGTAAGTGAAAACAAAACCACCCAACAACAGCCACTGACTTTTATAGTACTTACAATGGAAATGGAATAGGGTTGTAGCTATTTCCTGGAAGCAAATTTGCAAAGATGGCTTTCATGGTTGATTTTTCCTTCACCTGGCTGTCTGTGGATCCCAACAAATGTCCATCAAACACATCTAGGATAAAAAATATTCTACTTATAAGTTAATATTCAGAACAAGTAAAAAACAGTATAAAGTATCAACATTATTCCTTGCCAGTTTTGGAATACAGACATGTATTCACACCATAATTACCAATTATGGTACAAAATGTCTGATCTAGGAATAAGGACTCTTTGGGGATGAAAGAGGAAACAACAGTGAAGCATACATAGCACTGACTCCAAAGATCACACTGTTTTACATTTCACCCTCTCTGAAATTGGAACCATCCCATAATTGATGCTTTATCATTGCAGGGGCCGGGCAGCAGCCATGATGAAATTACTGCCTGAGCATTCGTGAACGTAGCCACAGCTCTTCTTATTATCACTTCAACTCAGTTATATGCACTGTGGCTGTGACATCGGAGTTTAACTGCAGTTTAAAAGTTATTTTGGGGGCACCTGGGTGGTTCGGTCAGTTAAGCGTCCTACTCTTGATTTCAGCTCAAGTCATGATCTCAAGTTCACAGGCCACGAGGCCTGAATTGGGCTCTGCGCTCACAGCATGCAGCCTGCTTGGGCTTCTCTTCTCTCTTCTCTCTCTCTCTCTCTCTCTCTCTCTCTCTCTCTCTCTGCTCCTCCCCCAGTCGCACACTTGTTCTCTCTCTCTCTGAAAATAAGTGAACTTTTAAAAAAATTAAAAACTAAAAGTTATTTTTAAAGTTTACACTACTTAAGTAGTTACTGCTTTGAACAGAAAGCAAGGAAAGAGAGAAACGAGGCATAAATTTGCCATTAGTGAAATAAACAGTTGTTGTGGGAGAAATGGCTGCAATTTCTCTTATTTTCTTACAAGGCAAAAACCATGTGCTTTGTGGGACTCAAGAAAGTAATATTCCCAGAAAACAGATGAAGCAGAATAACATTCTGCTCCTTAGATATTCCTATGTCAAGGAGCGCCAACTGAAGAAGTGATACGGTAAAAAGCTGGAACTAAAATAGCACTTCCAGGAAAGATAAAACGTACAAACTCTAAGAGATAAGAAAGCGTTGTATCAAAGCATTCACAGTGTTCTCTTTCGGATGAAGTACAGTAAAAATGACTTCAACTGTACCTTCGGAACTGCTGGCTGTATCGAGCTCAGGGGGTGCTCCCGCCAGCTGCTCGGGCAGGGCTTCCGGGGGGGTAGGCAGCTGCAGATGCGCCGAGCTGGCGGGGCTCTGGCTGGACAGGGTGGTCAGGAAGCGGTCCTCTAAAGAAAAACAGACTTCAGTGAGTCATTCAAAAACGCTGAGCCCATGTCTACCTAATAGGAATATTTTTTAAATGCCAACTCATATTTCTGCCTCCTAAACCAAAGAATTTTAGCTTCCTAAAAATGACTTAGGCCATTTTAACACACATTTTAGAAATAGATACAGGGAATCGCTTCTCGGCCTTTTGGCTAAGATCAAGTGTAGAAATAGATACAGGGGCGCCTGGGTGGCTCAGTCGGTTAAGCCTCCAACTCTTGGTTTTGGCTCAGGTCATGATCCCGTGGGTCTGTGGGTTCAAGCCCTGCATCAGGCTCTGCGCTGACAGTGCGGAACCTGCTTGGGATTCTCTCTCCCTTTCTCTGCCCCTCCTCTGCTCATGCTCTCTCTCTCTCTCTCAAAATAAATAAATAAACTTAAAAAAAAAATTTTTTTAACAGACATAGATACAAATATCCAAACAGGTTACATGAGTTGACCTCAGTCAGCTCTTAGTGACAGCACTGTGGCTGGCCACCCAAGTCTGATTCCTATCAATATTCTTTACGACTAGACCATAACTGGTTACCTAAATCTCAGTTCATTCAACTTAATAGGGAATAAAATCAAGACACCATTGGAAGAAAAAAATCATGTGCTCATTCTCAGGGGGAAAGTTTACTGAATCATAATAGAAAAATATCAAGAATTATGAGTTGAGCTCACATTCCACAAAGACGATCCAAGGTAATGTCCCTACAAATTTTCTAGGATGGCACCAAGTTATTCAACGAAATACTGTGAAAGACAGCTTAGGTCTAGAAAAAGATTTTAGTGACATGAAAACAGAAATTAAACTTTCTAATATTTTTGCAGTGAAACCTGCTGACTTGGGAACAAGCAAAACAAAAATTCAATTTCTTTCTCTTCTTTGCTCTTCCCCTAACAGATCGTGTTATTTCTACCTCCTCATTGATCTTCTTGCTATATACTCTAAGATACACTGACAGTGCTATAATACAGGAAGGGAGAAAAAAGTCTGTAACAACTGCATCAGAAAATCTTCTCAAAATTAGCCATGGAAACAACTTCTAGACTAAGGAATCTCTTTAAATCCAGTGGCAAGTGATTACAGAGTCAAGGACCCACCTTTTTCTCCATTTTGAAGTCCTGGAGAAATATTTCGTGGAGCCGCATCCATTGCACTTATCTGCAGAGAAGTAAATACCTTACTCTTAAGGAAACATTAAAATCACATTTTTAAAATTTTCTAACCTTAAGCCTCTTTTTTTGTCTAATTTCCTTTTTTTTTTTTAATTAATTTATTTATTTTGAGAGAGAAAGAGAAAGAGCACAAGGGGAGGGGGCAGAGAAAGAGGCAGAGAATCCCAACCATGCTCCATACCACCAGCACAGAGCCTGATGCAGGGCTCAAACCCACGAACCATGAGATTGTGACCTGAGCCAAAACCAAGAATCAGATACTTACGAGGGTCAGATGCTTAACCAACTGAGCCACCAAGCGCCCCTTATCTTAAACCTCTTAAGAATTAAGGTACTCAGCTTTTGTTTATGTGAGCTATAGCTTTTGATTTTTACCTTATTAGAAATGAAAACTGGGACACCTGGGTGGCTCATTCGATTAAGGATCTGACTCCTGCTTTCAGCTCAGGTCATGATCTCACGGTTTGTGAGTTTGAGCCCTGAATCGGGCTCTTTGCTGACAGTATGGAATCTACTTGGAATTCTCTCTCTCCCTCTCTCTCTCTCTGACCCTCCCTTGCTCTCTCTCTCTCCCTCTCTCTCGAAATAAATAAATAAAACTTTTTTAAAAAAATTAAAACGGAGAAAGTTTTAGAATATACATTTATTAGTTCATTTTAAAAATAATAAACCCTTACATGTTAATGTAAACATTTAATTAAAAAATACCTATCAAAAATTGGTAAAAGTAGCATTGTTTGACACTTTTACAAATACTTTAATGTCTAGCAGACAGCTAGATATTATCTCTGGCTTCTGCACTTCATCTATTGAGCTATATTATCATGACTGAAAAATATAAAGAAAATCTAGCCTCACACAGATACGTAATTGAAAAAGGGAAATCTTGCAGAGGCCATGGAAGTAACTTAAACCCTCAGGAGTCCTTTAACTACACTCTGTGAACAGTGCTCTAAACAGTGGCTCACTTCCTAGCATTAAAGCATCTAAGAACTACTTAGGATTACCCATTAAATTTAGTAATCTTTTATTTTCCACTGGACTTACTCAAGTCCCATTACACATAGGTGAAATATATTTAGAATCACTATAAATCCTGTGTACAATTTGTTTACAAAGTCATTTCTTAGATGGCTATTTAGAACATTCTTAGATTTGCTCACCATTCCAGAGAGACCCCCAGCCACCCTATATAAAATAACCCACCACCACCCACTCCCTTAGCAATACTCTCCATCTCCCTTATTTTTTTCTTCGTAGCCTTTTTTCCATTTTTTTAAAAAGCTTACTGTCCACTGGTTTATCATCAGTCTCCTCCTAATCAGACAAATGTTCCACAAGGATAGTAACTATGGCCTTTGTTCACAGCTATACGTCTTGAACCTAGAATAGTGCCTAAATTATTCAAAAACTAGTTATCAAGTGAAAATACAGGCAGTGCTACAGACTTTCAAATCAACTTTCAAGTCTTCAAAAAGATGATCATCTACTAAATGATTTTGTATTTTTAATTCTGCATGTACATATTATAATCAAAGGTCTTACACAACTAGCTTTGCCGTTTCTTCTGTGGGCAAATGGAAGGCCATTAACAGTCTGTGTTAGCCATTAATAGCCCCAGATTACTTCGCAAATACTAATACACAAACCATCTTCAGTAACCCTCACTCTTACTCTCACCTAACTTTAAGGGAAAGTAATTCCTACACAGCTATGAGACAAAAAGGAAGAATTCATTTATGTATTTCTAAACAACACACAGATCTAAGGCACTTGAATTTATCATTCCATGAAAATACTTCTCTACAGATATTATTACACACTTGTACAAAAAAAAAAAATTCTTTCAAAGTCCCTCATCGTATTATTAAGTCCTTATACTATACTAACATTAGTAACTTATCTGAAAATATGGTTACTTAGTATGATAGGCAGAATTCTAAGATGGCCCCGGAGAATCCTGCCCCCCCCCACCATACACATCCCCCATCCACTGTTATTCACCCACTAATCTAAATACTGCTGTGAAGGGATTTTGCAGATGTATTCAAGGTCCCAAATCGGTTAACCTTCAAATGGGGAGAGATTATCCAGGCAGTGATCTGATCACACAAGTCCTTTCAAATCTGTATCTAAAGGTCAGAGAAGAGGAACTAAGGAATCTGAAGCATGAGGATTCCATGCATTGTTGAAGGTGTGAAGATGAAAGGGGGCCCACAGCAAGGAAAGCAAGCAGCCTCTAGGAGTTGAGAATGGGCTCTGGTCAACTGCCAGCAGCAAAAGTGAGACCTCAGTCCTAAAACAACTAGGAACTAAATTTTACCAACAGCCTGGACCCTGGAAGATGACCCTGAGCCTCAGATAACGGCCCTGAACCAAATCTTGTCTGGAGCTATGTGAGACTGAGCAGAGATCCCAGCCACACCGTGCCAGACTCCTGACCTCCATGAAGATAAATTTGTGTTTTAGGCCACAAAGTTTGTGGTCATTTGTTATGTAACAAGAGAAAACTAATACAGTTAGGAAAAGCCAATGAAATCAATGTGCAAAACTACCCCTCATGAAAAACCTCCCACTTAAGCACAGAAATAAAGAACACACAAAACTATATATTAAAATAAATTAGGACTCTATTATACACTCAGGACGTCCAAAATCTCTCCTTTAGAGACCTACTGCAACCATGATGCTCTCTCCAGTGAAGCCCATAGACAGTAGCTTTTGACAAATGTTTGAAATGAACGAATTATAACAATTTTATTTCAAGCAAGATAAAAAATTCATCCAGGTCATGTCTCTTGGAAACCTCACAACTGCAAAATGAAAAACTATTTAGTATTATTAAATCTACGTATTAAATTACTACTTGTGAGCGTCTTAAATGAAATTAACTATAATATTTATATCAATGGAAGACCAAAGACTACATTTCATTACCTTGCTTTCTTCCCCCTGTCTCAGTCTTCCAGGACTTGGAGGAACTGAAGGTCGCTTTCTACCCTTTTCCTGCTGGAAAAGGTCCTGCAATCTATAATTAAAGGGGTTGGGGGGAAGAGAATAGTTTGTTTCTAATATCCTGAATAACATTTACAAATTTTGTGAAACCAAAACAATTAGATTTCCTACTTTGACTGCAATAGATATGAAAATTATGTATAACTAAGTTTCTGGTTTTTTTCTAATCAACTAATCAAGAGCTATTAGTGATAGGACTATAGTTATAAAAGAACAGCAAGTTATTATAAGAAACAACATAATGTAACCAAAACACACTAGCTTGAGTGACCAACAGACCTGAGCTCCAAACCAGCTCTGATAATTAGTAACTACACAACTTGGGTAAATGCCTTGGTCTCTTAGAGATACTGTTTCCCCCTCTGTAAAATGGAAACAGTATATACACACTGTAGGATTCACAAGACCAAAAAAAGATTAAACGTCCACCTAGTGCCTTACTTATTGCTTAGCATAATGCAAGTGCTCAATAAATAAATGCTATAATAATCCAACTCGACTTTTAAATAAACATTAAAGGGAAATATCTCCCCAAATAAACATTTAAATAAAGGTATAAATAATAACATACTTGAGGGGCACTTGGGTGGCTCAGTCGGTTAAGCGTCCGACCGGCTCAGGTCATGATCTCACAGTCCGTGGGTTTGAGACCCACGTCGGGCTCCGTACTGACAGCCTAGAGCCTGGAGCCTGCTTCGGATTCTCTCTCCCTCTCTCTCTGCCTCTCCCCTCTTTGTGCTCTCTCTCTCTCTCTCAAAAATAAATAAAGAAACATTAAAAAAGAAAAATAATAACTTGGGGCGCCTGGGTGGCTCAGTCGGTTAAGCAGCCGACTTCGGCTCAGGTCATGATCTCGCGGTCCGTGAGTTCGAGCCCTGCATCGGGCTCTGTGCTGACAGCTTGGAGCCTGAAGCCTGTTTCGGATTCTGTGTCTCCCTCTCTCTGACCCTCCCCCGTTCATGCTCTGTCTCTCTCTGTCTCAAAAATAAATAAACGTTAAAAAATAAATAAATAAATAACATACTTGAAAGCCCTAGCCTAAAAACCAATAATCACTCCATGGAATACTAATTCAGTTACATCACATGCAATAAGCACACACACTCCTCAGTATCTGAAACAGCACTGAAAGCTGCTCTCATCTTTGTTTCTTTATCTTTACAAACTACCTAAAGATAAGCATATGTATTTTTTAAATTTTTTTTAACATTTATTCATATTTGAGAGATGGAGAGCACGAGGGGGGGAAGGGCAGAGAGAGAGGGAGACACAGAATCCGAAGCAGGCTCCAGGCTCTGGGTTGTCAGCACAGAGCCTGACCTGATGAGGGGCCTGAGCTCACGAACCGCGAGATCATGACCTAAGCCAAAGTCGGACACTTAACCAACTGAGCCACCCAGGTGCCCCATGACTAGCACATATATTTTAAATAGTGAAGGGGGGGTGGTGACAGAAAAACAAAACCTTCTACAACTTGAGAGCAAAATGTAACATCCATTATTAACAAAGGCCTTTACATTAAAAACATCACGGCAGAGCAAATTTTGCACAAACATTAAAGAAGCCCCAGGCGCGCAAAGCATACCTGTTGTTCCAAGCCTGAAGCACTTCACACAGACTCTGCTTCTTGGCAATGAGGGACTCGAAGATAGACTGCAGCTGCTGTGGGGCATCCGCGGAGGAGGACATGAGCCTGGCTTGCATCTTCTCCACCCAGTTCTTGAACTCGCCTTCCTCCATCTACACGGAACAGAAACAATTCGGGCAGGTGAGGACACACACCCCCAAAAGAAACTTCTGATTAACAGTTAACAGTTAACCTTTGAGTTTCTGTCAGAGAAACGAATTACCTCTTTTTGTGCAAAGATATCTTCCATTTTTTCCTCTCTTGTTTTGCTAAACGTATCGGTTTTCAAAGATGCAAGTCTTTCATCAACAGCAAGATATACCTGTGAAACTCTGATAAAAACACGGATGTTAAACACTTCAGAAAAGTTGGAATTAAATCTTCTAATCTCTTATCAAAAGAAAAATCACACACACAAAACTTTTTTTTTTTTTTTAACGTTTATTTATTTTTGAGACAGAGAAAGACAGAGCATGAAGGGGGGAGGGTCAGAGAGAGGGAGACACAGAATCTGAAACAGGCTCCAGGCTCTGAGTTGTCAGCACAGAGCTTGGCACAGGGCTCGAACTCACGGGCCTCGAGATCATAACCTTGAGCCAGAAGGCTGACTCAACCTGCTGAGCCTACCCATCACAAACTTTAACTATATTTAACCTAATTAAGAATCATATACAATTCTGCAAAACAAAAAAGACCTAAAGGGATGTACATCAAAATCTTAACAGTTTTTATGTCTAAGATGGTTTGATTTTTTTTTTATACTTTTATGCAGTCTTACTTCTTTTTTGTAACAGGCATATATGCAACATATATTTAGAAAAATATTTATGTTGGTATTATGCTAAGTGAAATAAGTCAGAGAAAGACAGATACCATATGTTTTCACTCATAGGTAGATCTTGAGAAACTTAACAGAAGACCATGGGGGAGGGGAAGGGGGGAAAACAAAGTTACAGTGAGGGAGGCCAATCGTAATAAGAGACTCTTGGATACTGAGAACAAACTGAGGGTGGATGGGGGGGTGGGGGAGAGGGGAGAGTGGGTGATGGGCACTGAGGAGGGCACTTGTTGGGATGAGCACTGGGTGTTGTATGGAAACCAATTTGTCAATAAATTATATTAAAAAGTAATAAGTAAATAAAAACTTTAAAAATATTTATGATTTCAAAAAAAGCTACATGAATAAACCTGACATTTTTAAATATTTACAATTTTTTTTAAATCTGTAAAAAAAGATGATCGAAGAAACTAAAACTTACTTTTGAAAGAAGTCCTTTAGATCCTGAAGAAGGGACACTTTTAATGGGGCCTGACGTTTAATGAATATCTTAGGGAGTGGAACACATACTTCAAGAAGCCGAATGGGAGAATAACTGAGAGAAAAAAATACAAGTAATAGTAGAAAAGTAAAAAATACTTTAATATCTTGAGTAGAGGTAATCATAAATCCTATGAGGCAGAAGAAAAAGTTTCTGTAAAATAGCATTTTACAACAATTATAAAAATATTGAAGACAACTTCATCCATTATAATACCCTCCCCAATTCTAGAAGGGTTTTTGTCTTGTTTATTTCTTCACTGTACTGTGATGTCATCATTTATCCCTTGAGGCTAATAAAAAACAATGGCTGGGAAATAAACTTTATGAATGAGAGGAATCCCTTTCTACAATTAGCTCCTGAGCACATCACTTTCCCAGCTCCTGAGGATTCCTCATCAGTCTTTATTCTCATGAGTCCCTTAAGAGTCTTTCCACCCACGAGTTTATGTTGTCTAATAAATGCTATAACCTGTCCACACAGTAGGTTCACGGTTAAAGCTCTTGCTCCCAAAGGAAATAAGCTCTAATTCTAAGTATTTCCTGAAGGCCTATTTTGTGTCAGATGTTATTTTAGATGCTGAGGATACAGCATTCAACAAGGGCCAGAATTCCTGCCCTCATGATTCAGAAATAAGGAGATTCAGGAATAAACAAATACTTAAAATATACATTATTGCAGATGGTAAGTGCTACAGAGAAAAATAAAGCAGGAAAGGGAGACAGGGAGTGCTAGGGGTGAGGAGTCAGCTCAGGTAAAATATGAACAAAGACCCAGGAAGTAAGGAAAAGCAGGCAGGTATCTGGGGAGTAGGCGGTTCAGAGAAGGAAGGGCAAGCACCAGGCTCCCAAGCAGGATCCTCCCTGGTACGAATGAGGCTGCAGTGAGGGGACAGGAGGAGGAGGTGAGAACCCAGAGGAGGTACTGAGCAGTCAGAGCTTGCAGGAGCTCACAGGCCCATAAATAGGCTCTGGCTTCCACCCTCACTGAAACAGACACCCAGAAGAAGGCTCTACAGCAGAGGAGTGGCCTAAGCAGATTTTCACTGAGGGAAATCACTTGACTGCTGTTGAGATCAGACTGCAGGGGGCAAGGCCAGAGGGAAACTGGTTGAAGCCACTGCAATCATCTATCAAAAGGCAACAGAGGCTCAGTCCAGAGTGGGAGTGGCGGAGATGGTAACAAGTGTTCAGATTCTGGATATATTTTGAAGGCAGAACCTGAAGGCTTTCTCAGATCATTTAGCACCACAGTGGACCCATTCTTTGAACTGGTGATTTTAGCTCTATCTGGAATATCCAATTAACCTTATGCTAGTTAATGTCTCAACAAAAATTCTGACAATGCTTCCATGTAAAACAGTGGTTAAGATTAACATGTACAGCAGATCTACTAGTTCACATCACAACTTCATCCCTCGCCAGCTCTCTAGGTGACCTGTAAGCTCAAAAGTGAGGTTAATAATAATACCTATTTCTTAAAATAAGGATTAAATAAAATGACAACACTGAAAGCTCTTAGCACAGAGTATGACCCTCTGCATTTGCAAGGGTGGGAGTGGGGAACAACACACACCACAAATTAATTCGATCTAGTTATAGAAGAAATGTTACAAAGCCTTTAGGGACTAGGTGACTATGTATAAGGTCACTTTCCTACCTGAAAGATGCCACCATCTGATTATAGGAGAAATACTGGTGATAATCATGGTGGATGGAGTGACCACACGGCTCAGCATTGGCTCTGCGAGTGTACTGGTGCCCATAAAACCTAAGTTCAAGGTATTTTGCAAATGACATGGACCAGGACTCGTTGGAAAGAGCAACAACTGGTGTTACCTGAAATTCATATAAATCACTTGTTATGCAACCACATACTGAGAATCTCTTTTTTAAAAAATAATTTTTCTTTTCTAGTACAAATCTAATATATTTTGACTGCAGAAAACTGGAAAAAGAAAGAAAGGTTTAAAGTGGATAGAGTTAGGGATAGCTGGACATGCAATATGCTAGTATTTTACTTTCATGACATATATACATACAAATACAAATAAATGAATTCATAGAAGGTACCCAGCCAGCATATTTGTAAATAAAAAGTCTTTCCTATAATTAGTTTCATAACCCTGTATTATTTTTACTTAACAATGTATCATAAATATTTTCCCACATAAAATACTCTTATACAACTTGATTTCAATGGCCACAGAATATCCCATTATACGGACACATTAAACCAATCCCTATTGATATACATTTAAGACATTACAAGATTTTCTTTATTCTGATGATGCTCCGATGAATATATATATATATACACACACACACTTACAAATATCCATAATTATTGCCTTGGAATAAATTAAGAAAAGTGGGGATTGGTAGGTCAAATGGCATGAATATTTATGCGGTCTTGGAGACTTTTTGCCACACTGTCTTCCAAAATTGGTGCACTGGTTTACACAATCTCCAACAGTATCTGAGAATACCAATTTCCCCACTTGCTTACCAATCTCAGGAATTATAAATCTTTGAAATGTGATTTCTTAAAAACAAAATAAAACCGCACTTCACTGGTTTTATTTACACTTCTCTACTAACAACTCAAATTTATTTGCATACGTCTACTGGCCATTTGTGTGAAACTGCTTTGTGCCCTTTTTTTATCATGCCTTACAGGAGTTTAATATTAAGTATATTACTCTTTGGTCATATTATAACTTTTTTACACATGGAAATCTTTCATCTTTGTGTAACAAAAACTGTTTACCTTTTCCTTTCTAACATAGCCCCAAAGGCAGAAGTTTTTGTTTTAAAATGAAGTATACACACCAAAGCATGTAAGATATAAAAATCAAATTTAAGTTATTCATTTAATTCACTGCTCAATCTATAGAAGTTCACATATTCCGCAACAAAATATTACCAGCTGTCTAACAGGAACCATACTTGTTCCTGTAAGAACAAGTATAAAAAGTAAGATCATTGCAAGAAATGATCTCACGGCTATATGTGTGCTACTGCAGAAGGAAAAGACTTTGATTTTGGCTTCCTCAACCACTGATACTGACATAGGTCACACTATTATTTTATCTGTAATTCTCATATGTGTCTTCTGGAAACACACTCCAAAATAAGCCAATGAGGTTAAAGTTGGCATAAGCTTGCTGCAAATAATTTGGATAAAAAGTAAATACTGAAAGCATAATATTGTCACCAAGTATTTCCTCCAGAGTTAAACAAGAAAAGAAGAAATAAAACACATGCTCCTTTTTCTCAAATATGGTCCTTTTCACATGGCACATGAAAACCAGCAGAGATCAATTTAAACGTGGTCTCAGCTGTATCTCTTAAGATAGAAATGTTGATATAGGCTCAAATAGCCACAAACATCCTGGCGTGCTGTAATTACTGTGTTACAAGTCTTTCTCCTCCCCAGAGGACAGACGCCATGCCAAGCCCTTACACAGTCCCTGGCACATAGATGGTGCTTAAATAAGTGCTGAATAAATAAGCATAATTGAGAATTGTCAAAATATAATCTCCATAATTTTACCAAACAAGGTATTTATATTTTGTATAATGACTGATAAATTCTAAAATGGAACCTTCAATAAACAAACACTAAATGGAATACACAGCACTGGAAGATAAAATAAATAAGAGCCCAATGACAAATAAATCCAAAGTAATACAGACCACCCCCTCCCAAAAGAACTATGCAAATAAAAAAAGAAATAATGTTGTATGAAATTTACAGTAACAGGGCACGTTTACCTGTTTGCAGATTCTGCACCAGGAATAGGTAAGAATTGTATGTTGATATCCAGGTACTGGAGAATCTAACTCCTTCAGAATTATCTGCACACAGCCTTGGCCATGGACAAAGCGCCGAATATGATGCACCATGGGGGTATCACAGAACATGCTAGGACACTGATAAGAAGGCCTTTGACAAAAAGAAAGTCCTCACATTAACCATGAAACCGAGGAGCAATGTAGAATGAATACTGGCTAACTGGACCCCATCTCCAGAAAGAGCAGCATCCTCTCCGGAGTCACGCTGACCGGTGGACGATCCGCACGGGGTGCCACCCACACTGCTTGGAGTCTGCAGCCGAGCATCCTGTCTTCAGCTACAGCTCAGTGATAGTTTCCAGTTATTGAGCACCTTCTATTTGCTTAGCATTTTTAAAATATCAACTCATTTTTTTTACCTAGTCAAGCCCATGACACATCTGGAGCTTGTTATTCCCTGTAAAGGGGGCTGGTAAAAATCACTTGCTCTTGATCATGTTAAGTGGCAGGTGACAGCACTAAGACTCAAACCCAGGTCTAGCTGTTCTCATGCTTCTCCTGCCTCTCATTTCAATCACTCTCTAGATAAACATCCTACAATAAAGTCTTAGGGATGGCAGTGTAATTAGACAAAGACTGAGGAACAAACTGGATAAGATATCCTGGAGTTGAATGTGAAATAAATTCCTTCTCTGTATGGTATACAGAGTGTGGTATCACAGTGAAGGCCACACAATACTCCAACTAATGTTCACGTTTTAGGTTGAAATCCTGGGCATCTGAAAAGCATACATGAAACATAAAGAGAAAATTTGTTCTTACCTGAAACAGTATCTCTCTAAAAATATGCCTAATGTAAGATCATTCTTTCCATAAAATTCCATTGTTACAATCCTAAAAGAAGACAACATTTCTCAGGAACATATCGTAAGAATTGCCACACAGCAAAGATACTTCATGAGACTACAAACTGATTACTTGTTAGATGTGACTAGAAGGCAGTATTAGAGTAGATAATATTTTGCTGTTCTTCTAGAACAGGTTTGACCTCAGCTGATAAAACAGGTTTGGACTAGCTCCTTATCCGTTCCCAGTCCATTAGCATCTTATCAAACTACATCAGGATGCATAAACAATAACATTAAATGAGTAAAATAGATATGAGCCAGGAAGAGATAAAAGCTTCCTTCACAGAGCCCTCTGCTCTATCACCATAAAACAGAACTCCTGTCTCTTGCTCTCTGGTCCTCATACCTTTACTGAGCAAGAACAGCAGCAGCTCATATTCTTCCGGGAGAGCCAATTCCTGACTTATAAATGCCCACAAATAAGAGAATTTGGTTATAGCCCTGCTGTAGCCTAAATCTTATTCAAGCCTTGACCTAAGGAGTCCGTAAACCCCCAGAGAAAATTCCTGTGGGTTCCCCAGCCCCAAGTCAGTCCGCTAGAGCTATACGGGAACCAGAAGGATCCCTGATCTCACTGGAAGCAATAAGTGTTTCTGGAGACCAAGATTAAATACAGAACACATTTTGTCAAGGAAACGGTGCTCCACAAACAAGCAGCTACATTCCAGAGTACTTTTAAAACTAAAGATAAAACTATGCAATAAGTAGCCTTTTTCTATCAATCTACTTAGAATTAAGTTTTAGGACAAAATCCGTTAATAAGGCAAAAGACTGACCACTTCTTTGAAAATGATGCCTTATGGAAAACTTGCCTAAATTGTACATTATCATCAAAATGCTTAAAACTAGCTTTTACAGGCACACCTGGTGGGCTCAGTCGGTAGAGTGTGTGACTCTTGATCTCCAGGGTTGTGAGTTCGAGCCCCATGTTGGGTGTAGAGATCACTTAAAAATAAAAAATCTTAAAAAAAAAAAATAGCTCTTATGCATCAACTTTCTCACTTTTACAAGTACAAATGTCCTTCCATCCCTCACATCCTTTTCACTCTTACTCAAGGTACCTTTCATTTACTTCTCATGAACCTACACAAATTTCATATTTAATTCACAAGTTTAAAAGTTCTCTCAATTCATATACAACGAGCAGCATGCCATGAACCTAAAAACAGATCGTAATGGCTGATTTTTTTTTTTTTTTTTTTTAAGTTGCTGGAATTCTGTTCTTAAATACAATGCAACAGTGCAAGAGGAAAACCCTACCAAGGGCTGACACAGGCACTGGGGGCATTGCTGGACTGGGCAGAAGAGCTGCTGAAGAGCACGCACAGTCTCTGGTGGTTAACAGGGTTCAGACAGTCCACCTGAAAGGGAAGAAACGGATGAGCACCCCAAGTGGCACCACGCTCCAACCCCGACGCAAGCTTCTAATATCCAACACATTCCTCTTGACTTGTGAAGCCTCCAGTCCTCACTGTAAGGGTTCCACAGAGGACTGAAAACTACCAGAAACTAAATATAAGGAAGAAGAGCAGCTCATTTTTGAGACAAACCAGTGCAAAAACCTTAAGCTAACTTAAAAATACACACAGATGTATAGCTTGTTTTCTTCAATACTCTTTTTTACTTATAAAAGTGCATTGAATTATTTGGGAAGTAAATAGTTGACTAAATAGTCCATATGATACAGTCTGAACTGGGGCACCTGGATGGCTCAGTCGGTTGAGCATCAGGTTCTTGATTTCATCTCAGGTCACGATCCCAGAGTCATGAGATTGGGCCCGTGTCAGGCTCTGCACTGAAGCATGGAGCCGCCTGGGATTCTCTCCCCCTCCGCCCCCGCCCCTCCTTTGCTCACGCTTGTACCCAAGCGCATGCACTCTCTCTCTCAAAATAGATCAACATTAAAAAAAAAAGTCTGAACTGATGGCTGGATATAACATCAATCTGAGAAAAACTCTCAGGTCTTTATTTACTTATACTTTATACCTGTTCTTGATCATTACAAAGGCAACAGGTGCTCTCTGTCAAAAATCAAATAGTACAGAGTTAAGTGAAGAAATTCATGAAGTACATAAAGCCTCTCCTCTGTTGAGGCCACCCTACCTCCCAAAGTGATTGCTTTCATTATACAGTTAAAAACATGACCTCTTTTTGCTAGCTCGCACGCATGTACACACAAAAACACCCACATAAGAATACACAGGTGATAGTGTTTTTATAAAAATGAGAGGATTCCGCATATAACACTACTTGCTTTTTAACCCTTGAAAATGTATCACAGGCTCTACCTGGGTTATTCAATGAGATCCAACTCATCCTTTTTATTGCAAAAAACTAGAAACAAGGCTTCAGCAAACATCCTCGCATATATATTCCTACAAACTGTAAGCATCCTTACATAAGATGCTTACTTATATCTGCAGAATAGGTTATAAAAGATGGGAATCCTGAGAATGGCTACAATTAACAACACAGGAAACAACAGGTGTTGACAAGGATGTGGAAAAGGGGAACCCTCTCACACTGTTCGTGGGAATGCAAACTGGTGCAGTCACTCTGGAGAATAGTATGGAGGTTCCTCAAAAAGTTAAAAATAGAACTACCCTACGACCCAGCAATTACACTACTAGATGTTTACCCAAAGGATACAAAAATATAGATCTGAAAGGGCACATGCACCTCAATGTTTATAGCAATGCTATTAACAGCCAAACTATGGAGAGAGCCCAAATGTCCATCGAATGATAAATGGATAAAGAAGATGTGGTATATATACATATATATACACATACATATATTTATATATATGTACATATATATGTGTGTATGTATGTGTATATGTGTGTATACATGTATGTGTGTGTATGTATATATATATATGTATATATAAAATGAGAATGTTACTCAGCCATCAAAATGAATGAAATCTTGCCATTTGCAACAACATGGAAAAGCTAGAGTGAATTATGCTAAGCGAAATAAGTCAGAGAAAGACAAAGACCATATGAGTTCACTCATGTGTGGAATTTAAAAAGAAAAACAGATGAAAGCATGGGAAGGGGGGCGGGAAGAGTGAGCGAAACAAACCATAAGACACTCTTAACGACAGAGAACAAACTAGGGTTTGATGGAGGGGTGGTGGGTGGGGATGGGTTAGATGGGTGACGGGTATTAAGGAGGGCACCTGTGATGAGCACTGGGTGTTCTATGTAAGTGCTTAATCACTTCTGAAGCCAATATTACACTACATGTTAACCAACTAGAATTTAAATAAAAATTTGATAAATATAAATTAAAATTTTAAAAAATTGGAATCCTGGACCATAGGTATGTGTATGTGTGTATGTATACACACACACACACACACACACACACACACACACACACACACACACACACACACACAGAAACTAAAACAGATCTCCCTATCATCTTCTATAAATTTACATAAATGTATATAAACACAAATTTACATAAAATTTATTATAGCTATTTTCCACACCATGTTAACCATGACTCTTACCACTTTCTTTTTTTGCCAATCTCACAAACAATAATGTACCGAACAGAAAATAGTATATACCATTATTATTTAGCACTTCCCTAACTACCAGTGAAATTAAACATCTTCTTATTTATTCTATTAAACAACTTCATATCCTCATTTAGAGATGGATGTTTTCATTAGTTTTATTACAACCACCATCAGTATGTCCATAAGCAAATCTTAATTTCCCCTCAATTTCTGTTTAAAAAGAATAAGGGCATAGGGCGCCTGGGTGGCCCAGTGGGTTAAGTGTCCAACTTCAGCTCAGGTCATGATCTCATGCTACGTGAGTTCAAGTCCCACGTCAGGCTCTGTACTGACAGCTCAGAGCCTGGAGCCTGCTTTGGATTCTCTGTCTCCCTCCCTCTCTGCCCCTCCCCCATTCACACTCTATCTCTGTCTCTCAAAAATGAATAAACGTTAAAAAAAAAAAAGGGCACTTTCATAGTTAAATAATGCAAAGTGTTTTATGCTAAATAAATCTGACATTTTCTAAAAACACATCAATTTTCTATAGTAACCTTCATCTTGCTCTCCCTCATAATCATTAAAAGGATCAAGGATGCATCACACCACACCCAAGTTACCCTGCCACAAATTTGACATGGCTCCACCCTTCTCCCTACGGCAAAGCTCTTCCTACTTTATTGTGAGCTCAGCATGAAACGTTCAAAACTCAAGTTTCATTACTTTATACTTTTTTTTTTTTTTCAACGTT